ACTCTCACCGCCCTTATATTCTGCCGCCACTTTGACCCCACGAACAGGCAAGGGACTGAATGATGGGATGGATTGTATCGCGACTCAGGGTTAAGACAGGGTAGGGTCAATTTCCTTAAACTTTCGGTGAGGGGTGAATGACACTCACTAGTCCGGGTACTACTATTATCTCTTCTTTTCTCCTCAGGATCGTTCCGGAATGGTTTTCAGAACTCGTCTTGGATCCATGTTCAATTGACCTGTTATGCGGGACTAATCCTCCACACAGATACCGTGTCAAGAATAATCTCTCTTCAAAATTTATAATTTGATTTCAATCTCTCTTCTCTTACGCGGAAACGGATTCGACTCTTTGAGCAAACTGTGACATATGATTTTTTTTTGCAAATTAAACAGGAATTTTAATTGTGACATTGGAAAAGCTCTTTTTGTTTACTAACATGGAAGGCTTCAGCAACCCAGAGGATATGGGTCCTGGTTTCTGCATTGGACAACATGAGAGCAAACGCACAGTGCCGATTACGACCCAGATTGTGCAGGCAGCTCATGAAAGCAATGTATGGATAGCAGAATTCTGATCCCCCGTTCTGCGTGCTAACGTCTACTCACCATCAGTATGATATGCTTACCGCCCCTATAACCACATCTCATTTCCATTCCCGGGTTCTCAGTCTGCTCTCTTCGCACTTGTCCAATGTACAGGCAGCTTCTCCTGATGCTCATGGAACTATGGGCACAACGCAAAATACACGACCCCTGGTCATCCCGCCGTTGGCACCTTCTGATACCCATTTGACTCCGAACGAAGCAATGACCCAGATTGTGGGCGTGACAAGCTCATGGATCGATCTCTGTTCTCCGGACCCATTGATTGCAGATATATCCCGCCAGGTCCTCATGTTGGAGGTCGCTTATGCTGCCTTTTGTGGTATCGGATACCTTCTGATCCCGGGCCCTAAACTTCACCACAAGGGTATGCACTCAGAAGGCGTAGCTTATTACGCAAGAGCGATACAGGATGCCATCAGTGTTGGCCCTTATATTCAATTTAATATCTGGCTGGGAGCAGTTGATAGCCCGGATCTCGAGGTCGACGAGATGGGCGACCTAGCTCCCTTGGCCCGGGACGAATTCCTTGTAAACTTGGAAGAAGGACAATTGCCGAAAGAGGACCCATATGGAACTTGGGAAGCTTGGGACACCATCAGGAGGACCTGTAAATATCACTCAAGGCTTTTCGTAGGTAAGAATGCATCTCCCGCCACTCCAAGGCAACCCTCGGGTTTCGGTTCTTATCAGTTGGTTATAGACCCTGCGTGTTTGTTGCTAAATCAGTTTCGCTAGCGCTCTCATTACAGAAGCACCTTCCTTCAATGTCCGTCCAATCTCGGTGGCACTCAGAGCCGGTTCGCCTGCTTACATTTAATGCCAATTCCTTCATCAAAAACCAAAAGGGTTACCCCGTTTTATCCAAAGCCCATCAATCTTTGATCGCTCGTTTTATGCGTCTTCGAAGCCCACCATGGATTCTTCTGTGCGATGTTGGTTCTGTCCCAGGTGTGGACGCCGACAATTCGCATGCCACTAACCTAGAAGGCGCCGAATATCCAAGTCTCGCACAAGCAGCAGTTTCCAACAAGAAGCATTACGACCCCACACCCCATCTTTCATACATTAGAAATCTTCAGCAGCGGCAGCCAGCTCGAACTGCTATCGAGAGGTTCGGTGTAGGCTATCAGGACTATCTGCAAGCACCGCTACAGCCACTGACAGTCAACTTGGAAAGCATCACATATGAGGTCTTTGAGAAAGATCCTATTAAGTATGAATGGTATGAGCGCGCTATTGCAAAAGCCTTGAAGGACTGGGCAGAGCAGAAAAAACCCACCTCGAACCCAGATGGCCGAGTTGTTGTCGCTGTGGTAGGCGCCGGCAGAGGACCGCTAGTCACCCGAGCACTTAAAGCGAGCGCCGAAACAGGCGTTGATATTGACATGTGGGCTGTGGAAAAGAACCCTAATGCCTTCGTTCTCCTCCAACGTCACAATGCTACTATTTGGGGAGGAAAAGTCACCCTTGTTCAGTCGGACATGAGAAGTTGGAAAGGACCTCAAGTTGAGAAGAAGCTCTCGAGCTCACAAACCTCAGCACCGGTGGGCCAGTCTCTCGGGATCGATGATTCAATGCTTCATGATGCGGAGGCCGACCCCAATGACAAAGCACAAGCTTCCGATGCGGCAACCCGTAGCCCTGCTCCCGAGCTTATGCCTACTACGATTGATATCGTGGTTTCCGAGCTACTTGGCTCGTTCGGCGACAATGAGCTTTCCCCTGAATGTCTAGACGGCATCACTCATCTAATCAATCCGGTTCATGGCATATCTATTCCTGAATCATATACGGCCCACCTCACGCCTATTTCAGCTCCGAAGCTTCATGCTGATGTTATGCATCAAACAATTTCCAACCCTGCAGCTCCAGAAACTCCGTACGTGGTGATGCTGCACGCTGTCGACTTTCTCTCTACGAACCAGCCTACCATGCCGGGCAATACCACTAGTGGCGGCAGCTACCACAGCAACGTGCGGTCCTCCATATCGACACTACCTGGAAGCGAAACTCCTGCGCCATTTGTACAAACTGCATGGTCCTTCTCCCACCCTAATAGGTATATCCCTCCACAATCTCCTTCCACATCGACAATTTCCAATGCACACAATGTGCGCCGGACGCGATTGGCTTTTCCTACCCAGAACCGTGGAGTCTGCCACGGTTTAGCTGGTTACTTTGAGACCGTCTTGTACCGGGATGTTGAACTTTCGACCAATCCCGTTACCATGGACAGTAAGAGTGCCAATATGATCAGTTGGTTTCCAATCTACTTCCCCCTCAAGGTACGCAACTACATTTCCCTTCAGTAGTCACCCCTTCCGGAGTAGAGGGACCAGAAAACACTAATGAGTATCATCTAGACTCCCCTTAATGTTCCCGATAATGGTGAGGTGGTCGTGACTATGTATAGACAAACAGATGACCGGAAAGTCTGGTACGAGTGGATGGTTGAAGTCTTTGCCCTTGAGGGCCACATGGACCCCCCGGCTCCAGAATTCATCGCTCCTGTTATGAGCGGTGCCCGAGGCGGTTCTCCTAGCGCCGACAGTAAGTCGCAGCAGCGGAAAAGCAGCGGCCGTGGTGGGATGCGCCGTGTGAAGGTGGGGATGAGTGAACTGCACTCGAGCATCAAGGAGGGATGCCTGATGTGAAGCAGGCGATTCTGGTTATGGTACACTTAGACCGTGCGAATTCCATCATCAGTCATGTGCGGATGACGTCGTGTCGCAAACAGGTATATGGAGAAGAACGGCGATTTGCAGGAGATAGGGCAAGTACAGTTTTTTTGAGTAGTAGGATGTTTTGGGTATCAATACCTCCACCAACTGCGTTTCTTCATTGATCGAATATACTTTTGTATCCTAATCATGACTTGTTCTGAATAAAAATCACTGGATAACCTAAGAGTCAAAGTTTTGGAGGGGGGAGGGAGCTGTGTATGTCCGGACATGCAGACGTCCACCACAGTTTCCCCAAGCTATGATCAATACTCATTCATGGTGGTGGTTGATACTTCAGCCTCTTGTGCTACCGATAGGCGCCCAAGAGTTGAGTCAGGTGAACCGAGCTTGGGCCAAACGGAAGGCAAACCGTGGGCAGGGCGCGCATGGATAAAGCAAACCAGACACGGAGTACACTGGATGCAGTTTAGTTACACCTGCACCTACGGGACAGCTGTGCTTTGTACATCTCGCTCCAAGGAGAAAGGGGGGCTGCAGATCAAGGGTGTGGTTGAGCAGCAGGAAATCAATAGTGTGACGAAACATGCAAAAGAAGGGGTCTTGGAAGTCTTGGTACGCTGACGCCGTGGGATTGTTGAGTTATTGGCAACGTGGGTGGGCGGACCGCTATGGTTGGTGACGTTGATCCGAGAAGGTTGTAGTTGTTATCGGTGCATGGGATGTGGTTCTGATTAGATGTTTTGATTACCTGTAGGGTATTGCTTGGTCCTTCAAGCAACGTCTTGGTTCGTCCTTCCAATCGATCCGATATCAGTTGATCTGGTAATTTTACCGAATCGGGGAGTCTTGATTGGTATTCTGGATGCACTTGGAGGGCGGGGGGCTGCTCCTTTGAATTCTCACAGCGGACTACGCGGTAACTTATATCGCCCGTCTTTAAGTAGGTTAGTTATATATGTATGTACCTTGAGAGGTCCGAGGACTGTTGAGACAACCCTTGTCTTGGTAGCCAAGGGGGGCCCCGTAATGCTTCTAGAAAACTGGCCTTATCAGAAGCCTCGGAGTTAGCAAGGCGACCGGTGGACGCCCCGAAGGGGAGCGCCGAGCCCTCTTCCATGGGGTCTCGATCCTGCATGACCGTATCGTTACAATGATCCTCTCAGTCGATGCATCACCGATACTCGGGATCTTACAGAGAAACTTCAGCATTACACCGGTCATTACCCATACTCCGGCCAACCATTTTGCCCTCCGATCACCTGTAAGACCGCGTACCAAACGGCCGGGGCCCGTCATCATTCCTTCAGGTGTACTCCGGAGTATGATGCATCTTGTGAGGCAAAAAGCCAAAAAAAAGAAAAAGGGTTCCCATACTAAAAAACTAGTCTATCAATCATTCATACACTTACTCCACACAAGGAGGAAAAAGAAATTACTCTCCCACACACTTGCTCTCCTCCCTTCCACCTGTGAGATCTGGTTATTTCTATTCTTGTCAACGGACGTCTGCACCCGCCTCGAATTTTCTTTCCTCCCTTACTCTATCTCCATGACTGCATGTGTGATTCGTCGCTCGACCATCGCTCCGAAGGTCGTGGGTTGACTTACTTAGTACCTCTATCTACGAACTGGACTTGATTACGTCTTGCTGTCTCCGCAATCATAAATTACCTTGACAGCTTCCGTTCTTCTTCTTCTTGTTCTTCTTCTTATTGCCGATCGATCTCTTTATTTCCTCCGTCACACGCCCACCGAATACCGACTTTCTTTCCTTCGCGCTTTTACTCTCCCGCCACATACAGACCTGAAATGGTTCACTCAACAGGCGAGGAACGCGCTGTACACCTCACACGGGAGGCGATTGAATTAGTAGACGCTGGTCATCGTGAAGTATGTGCTGTCCTGTCATGTCACTTTCTTCGGCTTCTTTGGTTTTCTGTGGTTTTCCAAAGCTCTCCACGTTTCACCCCTTGTCCCGCATGGCCAATACTTTGTGTGGAGTCTTATCGATAGTCCGCTAACGTATTATTTTTCAACCCGATCACAGGCTGCCTCGCGGAATCTCCGAGAAGCGCTGTCTTTAGCCCCGGACAATCCAGCTGTCAAGGAAGCTTTCATTAAAATCCAGGAAGAGGAGGCAACTGGTCACCACTTACTCGATCTCTGCCGGCGTTACACTTCTCGCAAAGACGAAAGTGCTGGAAAGGATGCCGCCCTGTATCTACGCACGGATGGGCTCAAGCCTCCGGAGGAGGTCGCCTTAGAATGTGCCAAACTTTTGCTAGCGCACAAAGCACATGCGTTATCTTCGTTGCAAGATGATATCATTTCAGGGTTGGTTCGGCAAAATGCCAGCGTTCGTCAGTTTTTCTCAGACAAGCTGCAGATTTCCGTGACCACGTTCTTTGATGAGATGTACGATAGAGGCGACGGCGCGGCGGTATGCCTCGATGCCGTCGTCTTGGATTCTTCAGTATGGCCCTCCGAGGCTGCTCGCTTGCATTGCGAGCGCGAGCTTTTCCTGCTGTTCATCGCTAAGCTCATGGAGTCAGGCCATGACTTGGACGGTCGCTCTCTGAAGGGAATCGCGCGACTCCTGGCTGTCGATGCGTCTAAGTTGCAGGACCAAATTGATGATGAAGAATTGGATGTAATCGTGTCCTCCTTGGATCATCGGCTGCCCCTTGAGTGGAGAAGTCAAGCTACTTTAGCGACCGTCAAGTATCTTGAAGCCTCCAAGGAAATCGGACAGAATCGATTCACCAAGCTCATCTCTGCCAAACTTACCAAGACGCGCGTTGATGACCATATCATCGCGTTTTCGGCTACAGCCGCGGTTTTCCCTGTCATCCCTGAGATTGCGGCTACTCTGTTCTTATCGGAAGGATTCATGGCTTCCCTAACGCCCGTATCTGTTAGGGATGCCAAGCGCCGGAGAGTGGAGGTTTCAGTGTTGGAACTGCTGAACGCTGCTTGTATTAACAAGGCCTGTCGCGAAGCTATCGCCAAGAATTTCTCCGATTGGCTTTCTCACACCCTGACTAACGGCAGCGATGAGTCGTCCGAATTGGCAGCGGTGGTATTGGCTAAGATACGCGTTTCTGACAAGGAAGCATCGGGATCTAATGGTCAGGTGCAGGGTGACGATGCGAGCGTTGCCGAATTGATCGGGCGGTTTAAGACCATTATGTCGAGTCGCAAGGGTGAGAATGTTCAAAACGTAATTGAGGGCTTAGCATACTCCTCCGTGAAGCCGATTGTGAAGGAACAGCTTGCCAAAGACTCGACTTTTCTGCGGGACCTGATCAAGGTCTTGCATGAGAACTTGAGCGATTCCTCGGTTCTCTATGGTGCCCTAATGATACTCGTGAACATCACCCAGTTTCTTCCGAATTTGAGTGAAGAACAAAAGAAGATGTCACAACTCAAGTCGTATGCAGAGGCTTCTCCCGATGCCCGGGCGGGCCCAAATCCCCTCGAGAAGGATGAAAGCGTTATCGCTCGTTGCAATGCCGTCATTGAAGCTGGTATCATGCCGCTTTTGATTGAGTGCAGCAAAACAAATCTCCCTTCCATCCAGGGCCTTATAGGCAAGATCATGCTTTCGCTGTCCCGTAATCCGAAAACCAGAGGAACCCTAGCCCAGCAGGGCGGTGTCAAGCTTTTGCTCAATATTGGCACTTCGAGACAGGGGAGCTCTGGTTCGATTGCAAACGAAGCCGTGCCTAATGCCTCCCACGCCTTGGCCCGCATTCTGATCTCTGTGAATCCGTCACACGTTTTCCCTCCATCTGGATTTCCGCAGGTCACTTCGGCTATCCGACCCTTAACTGCACTCCTGGTGGTCCCTGAGGCTTCAGCGGACCAGCCCCGCGATCTTTTGCCCATTTTTGAAAGCCTTCTTGCCCTCACGAATCTCGCTTCTCATCCGGATGAGAGCGCGCCGGATGCCATTGTCCGACAGGCATGGTCAGTGATCGAGGATCTGTTGCTTTCCAACAGTCCTTTGATTCAACGGGCTGCATGTGAGTTAGTGTGTAACCTAATGACTTGTGAGGCTGGGATAGTGAAATTTGCGGACGGCTCTAAACGGGCTGGGCAGCGCCTGCATATCTTGCTAGCTCTTACTGACGCGGATGATATCGCAACCCGAAGAGCCGCTGGAGGAGGTCTAGCTATGCTCACCGAGTTTGATTCCGTCGTTGCTGCCGTCTTAGATAAGCCTCGTGGCGTGTCGCTCTTGCTACGCCTTTGCCAGGAAGATGATGAGGGGCTGTTGCACCGAGGGGTGGCATGCGTGCGGAACATGAGCTGCATCGCATCAGGTGATATTGGCCGCGCGCCAAAGAAGCTCTGAAGCAGGGCGGTGCGGTTGATATACTGACTAATGTGCTGAAGACATCGAGGAATACTGCGGTCCTCCAAACAGGAGTTGAAGCATTGAAGCCTCTTGTTGAATGATGTTTTGGATCCATTTTTTCATGCAATATGGGTTACCGGCTTGTTCCTGTTTCTTGCTTGTTAGCGATTGATTATTTTATTTGGGCGTGGGCTAGGGATGAATTGCTAAGGTGTTCTTGTTTTTCTGACCTGCGTCTCGGCGTTGCTTGTCCTTTGTAGTTTTTGCCGGCAGCTTCTTCCTATTTCCCATTCTGTTATCTTACGATTTTACCCAGGTTATGAGGGCTGGGAATGGGCTCGGTGTCGGTTTCAGTTTGGCAATCAGGACATTTGCGCTTTACCGGGCCATTCATAGACCAGGATGACTGTTTGTGATGTATTTTCAGTGGGTTATCTAGAACGTTACATGATACAGTTTTGATATGAGCTCTCAACTAGAAATTTTTCCCCCTAACTCACTTGCCATACCGCTATCCACAAGCTGCCATCCCAAACCCTATACACCCTGAGCCGGCCATCCACTCAGCATCAGCCAGGGCCGATTCTACCCCCGCGTAATCCCTGTCCTACCGCTGTTCTCGGATAATAAATACTCTGATGGGGGCTTCGTTAGGACTGGTTTTACTTGGGGTTGGGGATAGGATAGGCTTGGTGCTCTAGAGAACGTACATGTACTACGTGGGTTTATTTGGGTGGGTAGGGTAGTGGTGGTGAGGTTTCCATCTTATTTGTATGAGGTTTTGGTGGCGTTCTTTCTTTCTTTCTTTTTTATGGGGGGAGGTGGACTGATCGAAGTTGATTCACTTATGCATAGCGCTTATGTACACCCTTGTTTTATATGGAATCCTAGTTCCGTTCTGCTATCTATCTTCTGGTTCTTAACATTGTTTATATCAGAGACTCTGACGCCTTAACATATACAGAAGAATGAAATCTAATGCTTCCAAATGCTAGAATCTAGTAAGTAATCACCCCCCCCCCCCCCACAAAAATAATTATATGCCCCGATAACCGAGCCCCTCATCTCGATCACGGCTGACGCTGCAAACCGACGTCAGAGTCAGCGAGCGGGGACGATCATACTTAAACGCAACCCCCACGTACTTTTGCAACGGACCGTGCTTTGTGTGAATGGGTGAAACAGGTTATGGTAGGTACTTAGTATATTAGTACCATGTGCGGGGATAGAGTAAAAGCAAGGAATTATGATTATGATTGTCACCAGGTAGCGTTAAAGTGCGTCGATTATGACACCGACCAGTGGTTATTTGGGAGATAAAGTCCGGCATGATCAGCTGAATGGAACGTTGGGCGGAAGAATGATGGCGGTTAGTCTAGAACAAGTAAGCTACGCAGGCGGGTGCATTAGGAGAAGAACGATTGACGATGGTGGGCAAATAGTTCGACTCTTATAGAGTGGCGGTTGGCCAATCAGAGCGGTCCATTGCTTTGGTTTACTGGTCATACCGACATCTCGGACGGAGTACTACCTTGAATACTCATCGTCGGTGGGGTTGGCTTCTGGAAATAAAGGAAAGAATGCCGGCGACCAAAACAGAGATTCAATTGGCATCGTGACAAGTGACGCATCGATCTGGTGGCTGTTTGTTCATGTGAGGTGGGAAATGATAACTCTAGAGGGAGTGTGGCAGGGATGGACACAGCAGCAATAATGTACTAGTATTGTGTAAGACTACGTGATTGATTAGGCTGAAGGTGCTTAAAGTCGATCTCACCCATAGCTTCTTACTATTACTCCGTAGTAGCTCTGGATACTAATTTCTATACAGTCCAAGTATTGTGTTTGCCCTACCTTGAGTTGTGGATCGAGGTGTATTCCGTCCGTACACAGTACAACATCATCAAAGTGGGTGGCACTTGACAACAACACCAGGGGATCAACTCCTTTTCTCCGCTCCAATAACAGAGCAAAGGGGGAAGAAGTTATCCAGAAGAACCCTATTTTCGAAAATTGTTCCCTAACTCTCTTCTTTCCCCGGGGTGTCTTTGATCCCTTGCTGACTCCTCCATACCTCTTGGTGTGGTTTAAGGGGTACGGAAGGGCATGTGACATGCAGGGAAACGCACGAGAAGGGGCAGAGGATTTCGAAATGGAAAAGGAACACGACGGTGTCCCCACCCTTCTGAACTCAGCATTTGGTTTTGAGGATCAAGGCACCGAGCTGGCGATGGGGATTGAAAGAGATTGACCAACTGAGTTCCACCGGCGGTATGCAACACGAACTCTGATTTGGCCTGTGGAAAGCTCGGATCAAAGTCTCGACCCCCTTGGGCAAATGGGATGCTGTCTTGATGTTTCTCGTCTTCTCCGAAGCTCCACGGCCCCTCTCCCGTCTCCGGGGGTATGGATCATGGAGGGAAGCATTAATTGTTTAATTCATTATGATACGGAATAAGCCCTGGTGGCCGTGGGAGACTATATATAGTGGTGGCGATCCGGAATCGAAGGATCTTGACAATTTCTTCACAAACCCACAGATAGGTTATTGGTCTTGAACACATTACTTTATTGTGGCCTTTGCGACCGTTGTTTTTTTTTTTTTTTACCACACTTACGTTGCATTCACCTACGACTCTCTACTACTTCATCGATACGGAGGCTGAGGGCAAGCGCTGATTAACCCTACCGTCATCCTCCCGCATTCTACACATCTGTAAGGTACCGTTTTTCTCGCTCGTCCCGAGATCACATCCCCCGGAACAAACAGTGTGGCGCGAGCAAATCAGAGATCGCCCGCCTTGCACGCCGAGCATTAATTCGTGGAGCTCCATTGATTCTTTATCCTGAAGAGTCAAGTTCAACGTTCCGCCTCCCGGAACGTGTGCTCTGTTTGGCGCATCTCACTCGTTATTGCCCCCTGTTGCCACTTTTGTTCAGGCGTTCCCTGGTTCCTTGACTCCGGGTTCTCAAGGTATTGGCCTCTGTTTCCGCCATGTGCACTGTCACTGAGCCTCCCTGATCCACTTGGTGAATGTCTATACACAGTAGTACCTTGACCTCCTCCAAGTAAAAAAGTCAAATAATTTTTTTTTTTTTTTTTTTTGTTTTTTTTTTTTTTTTTTCGTTTCCTCTTTCCTCTTTTTTGTTTTTGAATTCTTTCTTCTTGACCGTATCCGAGCTGCCCCTACTTCATAACGGCATCTCTCACCGCAATTTTCCCTGACTGGTTGAGCTTTTCACGTGCTGACTCCGCCCACGCTATAGTATCCATATCTTTACGCATACTACCACACATCCTTTTTCCACATCCTTTTTTCAATCGATATAACCGTGAGAGTCTTTTCCACCTTGGCACAGAGACGAACACCTTGCGCAATGGCTTCTTTGTAAACTGACACATGGCGCTGCCGCATTCGAAGTTTCAACTGTCCTTTTCCTTTGTCCTTCTCGAATCCGTCTCTTGTTCTTGAACTATTCCGCCACTGGTCTATATCTTCTCCTCAAGTCGGTGATTGGGATAATTTGTGTAAAAAGCCCCCGGGATCTTCTCAAGCATCCGAGATACTTGTTATCGAGAGGAGCTTACAGCTTGCTCATTTTCCTTGATACAGATCATACCTCGTTGTGATTGTCAGAAAACGAGAACATAATGAAGTTTGGGCGCAATCTTCCACGGAATGTCGTTCCTGAGTGGAGCTCCTCCTACATCAAGTACAAGGCGTTGAAGAAGCTCATCAAGTCGGCGGCAGAAGATGTGAAGGCTGGCCATGAGGCAGATCTTGCCGGTGAGCCGTTTCTATGAGTTTCCACGTATCTGGACCGCGAAGCGGTCTTCCTGACCTGACCCCCTAGGATTCTTTTACTCCCTCGATCGAAATCTCGAGGACGTCGACTACTTCTATAACAAGAAGTACTCGGATTTTGCTCGCCGCCTCAAGTTGCTAGAGGATCGGTATGGCCAATCTTTGGATGCTGGTCATCGTCTTGACTCGGAGGAGGTTGAGGACCTTCTGGCCGCCTTGCTTGAGCTGCGCGGCCAGCTACGGAAATTACAGTGGTACGGCGAAGTCAATCGCCGTGGGTTCATCAAGATCACCAAGAAACTGGATAAGAAAGTAGGCGTCCATGCGCAGCGGACTTATTTAGAAACGAAGGTCGACCCATCTCCATTCGCCTCGAATGCGCGGGTCACCGAGTCATTGAAGCAAATCAATGACTGGCTTTCGGTACTTGGTGAGCAGAAGGTCTCAGACGATGCCAGCTCCACTCGCTCTTCCCTCTCACTGAAGAGGGGTCCGGCTCGCCCACACTTGAACTTACCCTCGAGTTTGCTTGTCGCTGTCGACGAAGCGTTGCGCAAAGATGACACACACGTCCTCCTGGAATTACTGGAGGACCTTAGAACTTCTACGGACAAGCTTGGAGGAAACCTTTTCCCTAAAGTCCTCGAGAGCCTCTTGCAGCGGTCTATTTACTACCGCTCGAAAAGCTGCATTTCCGTCCTGCTCGACCGAATGGATAGCCTCGATGATGAAGATGATATCAACAAGCGTAACTGCATTCACAGATTAGTGATCTCAATCGGTCGGACACAGTCCACGACTGACTCGGAGGAGTCCGCTTCAATGGTCCTGGACTTCCCCCTTGAAACCTCCAATTATATTACGCCCGCTGCCCTGCCAACATTGCAGCCTCCTCGGAATGTAGTGAAGGAGTCGGATCACCCTCAGCATTTGGATAGATCAGATCCGTCGGTATCGCTTCTACACCACCTGCTAGAGGAGCTCCGGCCTAGGCAACGACCTGCTCTGCTTTCCAAGGATATCTCGGGTCGTACCCCACTGCACTATGCTGCTCAGTATGGGTTCAGAGTGGTCTGTGAAGTCATCATCGAGCACCTGCAGGCGTGGGATATGTTTGATGTTTCTGGGGGTATCGATGGGCCGCACTGGCAGGATAATGATGGTTGGGCCCCTCTGCATCTGAGTGTGGTTGGTGGTCACCCATTAACTACACGCACCCTTTTAGACGCCGAGAACTGGCAAGATGCCAGTGCGGACAAGTCGACCACCCGGAAACAGGTCTCCAAATCAAGCGCAGTACTTGCGATGGCCACAAAGGCAAACTTTGTTGATATCGTCAAGCTTCTGGTGGATGCAGGGGTTGATATCAACTATCAGGATGAGCAGGGCGAAACCGCGTTACATGTCGCAGCCCGGTTTGGCCATCATATGTGCGCCAAGATCTTGTTAGAGGGCAACTGTGACCAAAAGGCGGATACGGAATTGGTTGAGCACACGTACTCTTGGACACCACTGTTCATTGCCAGTGTTGATGGGTCGCTGAGCGTTGTAGACCTGCTGATTGAAGCTGGTGCCGACCTTGAAAAAGCCGACTCCTCTGGGTGGACTGCGAAGGAACATGCAGCGCTGAGAGGTCACCTTGACATCGCTCGACGTCTTGCCGAACTTACACCTGAGCCTGATGTCGCGGAAGCCGAGCCTGTGATACCGATCCCTGTAGCTTCCTCCTCTCCTCCAGCCCCATCCTCTTTGATAGAGCGAAGATCTAACACCAGCACGCCCTCGGGTAGTTCTAGTACGCGGGATGTTGAACCTGTTAAATCTTTTGGACACAGGTATCTTACCGACGAGGCCATGATACTGGTGAGCCTGGGTACCATGGATATGCACAGGCCCGTGGAAGCAGTTAACCTTGATCGTATCCCAATGGAGAACGCTCATTCCACCCAGCTTGATACTGCATTGTCCATCGTTGTTTCTGCTAACGGGGCTCATGGAGAACCCGAGATCATCGATCTGCCTGTGCAAGACAATATCTCGACGGAGCCAATCGTTTTCCATACTGCCGACGCGACGAAAGTGAGACTTTTATTCGACCTCGTCCCGACCTATGCTGGTTCGAAAGACCAGGTGGTTGGGCGTGGTGTGGCGCTACTCTCTAGCATTAAGCAAAGCGTAGGCTCCAATCGCATCAACTTGAAGGGTGACTCGACTGTGCCTATTGTGGCTGCAAACACCCTGGAAGTCATCGGCACGGTCACATTCAACTTCCTCATCGTCACGCCTTTCAAGCACCCGAACATGTCCATCACCGGTGACCGGACCTATTGGAAGAGTATGAGCTCGACCATGGTTATTGGACACCGTGGCTTGGGTAAGAATATGGCCAGCCGCAATTCGTTGCAGCTTGGTGAAAATACGGTGCAGTCGTTCATTGCAGCCGCGAACCTTGGCGCATCTTATGTTGAATTCGATGTACAGCTGACCAAGGATCATGTTCCCGTTATTTATCATGATTTCCTCGTCAGTGAAACCGGAATTGATGCGCCAGTTCATACTCTCACGTTGGAACAATTCCTTCAATTGGGTGACAGTGGATCGTCTCGTCGATCTGGCTCCCCATCTCAGGCGCTTGATGCTCTTGGAAAGGAGGCAAACACTTCTGCTCTTCGTCAACGCTCAATGTCTGTCGGTGGTTTTGAATATGACCCTGCGGAATTAAACGAGAAGATCAAGCACACTCGCGATTTCAAGAAGAAAGGCTTCAAAGGCAACACCCGAGGCAATCACATCCAAGCACCCTTCGCCACATTGGAAGAGCTTTTTAAGAAACTTCCTAAATCTGTTGGATTCAATATTGAACTGAGTGAGTTATACAGCCCTCCCTAGAACAGCTACGAGACGATCTGACTGAGATCGCCAGAATACCCCATGCTCTATGAGAGTGAGGAAGAGGAGATGGATACCTACGCAGTGGAACTGAACTCCTTTGTGGACACGGTTCTTACCCAGGCGTACGAGTTAGGTCAAGGCCGCAACATGATCTTCTCTAGTTTCAACCCTGACATTTGTTTGTTGCTTTCCTTCAAACAACCCTCTATCCCGGTGCTCTTCTTGACGGATTCTGGAGCCTCTCCTGTTGGTGATATTCGCGCCAGCAGTCTGCAGGAGGGAGTTCGGTTTGCGTCCAGGTGGAACCTGCTCGGTGTTGTCTCGCAGGCCGAGCCACTCGTACTCTGTCCTCGACTGGTTCGAGTCGTTAAAGAGTCGGGTCTGGTTTGTGTCTCTTATGGAACTCTAAACAATGATCCTGCCAATGTCAAGGTCAGTGTGCCCCAGCGTTAGCCTGTATGTTAGGCTTGACTAATACTTTTACAGCGCCAAGTGTCTGAAGGTATTGACGCGGTCATTGTCGACTCTGTTCTCGCCATCCGAAAGGGTCTTACGGAGCATCAGAGCAACTCAGTTACTCCTCAACGTAGCCCACTCGTCCAGCCTACCCCAGTTGCTCTGAAAGATACTCTTCAAATACCCATTCTCAACCATGCTGAGCAGAAAGACGATCACCTTCACATAAAGCCGGAGGCTGTCATTTGAGCGCCTGTCATTGCATAGGCAATTCAACCTGCCACCAAGCCAAAGGCATGGTTTCTACACCATTATGCAATTTAATGAGATATAGATGTTTAGTGTTGATTCCGCAATACCTGCCCGAGCCATACTTGCTCACTCTTGGATGTCTTTACGGGAAAGATATCTCAACATGAAATATTTTAGAAAATATGCTCTCCTCTTAAGCACAGATCTTCAACAAAAAAGACTGGACAATAATCTACTTTGGAATAAACTGCTTTGGATAATTAGCGGCAGTGGGTCGAAAATTTACCTGCCGCTATTACTAGCCATAGACATGCCATTTCTCTTACATACCAGGTGCTGAAGACCAAATCCCATCACAAGAATTCCAGCTGTAGCGTTCTTAGATTTAGTATTCGATATACTACAATACATTGAACTAAGCATCTACCCCAGCCCAAGGTCACGTGCACGACAGTCATCGGCAAGTGACCGAAGATAGAGAGAGCTAAAGCTTTGATAACGCTACCGCCTCCCCAACCAGATCTTCCTCTCCCCCCCAGTCGACCAGCGGAGAACAACTACCCAACTTCTCCCGGCGTCAAGTATCAGTTCGAACCAACCGATACTGCCTGGGCTGAGACGGGTGGTTGGGATCGAACAACAACGAAACCATCGGTTTTTTCCAACGCCGACACCCATCGCAAGTCTAATGATGTTATGGCTTGACGAGCTTTTTTTTTTTTTATTTACCTAGCTCGAGCTTATCTCCCTTTCACATATTGTCTTTTTAATATCAGGTTATGTTCTATTCATCTATCAAGAACCTATACAAATCACCGGATAAGACCATACCATGAACGCCGTGGATGCGACAGAGCACTATGAGACGAGTGCACGCGGTAAGACCCTCAACTCAAAAGCTATACAAGTCATATAATCCTTGCAAGAGACGACCCTGACTTGAAAAGATCCTGCGCCCGCCCTTCTAACCGTCATCCTCGACACAAACCCCCACGCATGGGCCCTCCTTGAAGATTCCCTCCCGCTCTCCAAAGCGATCGCAAACATCCTCGTTTTCCTCAATGCCCACCTAGCTTGTAACTACGCAAACGAGGTGGCCGTGGTAGCCTCCCACAGCCAAAAGGCGGCGTGGCTGTATCCGCGCGAGAACCCAGCCACGAAGACATACCAAGATGCCGACGGCGACGTGTCGATGAACGGGTCGTCGGCCGATAATAATAATACCACCGAAGGACCGGGACAGGTGAACAAGTACCGACCGTTCCGGATCGTGGAGGAGCAAGTTACGCACAATCTGCGTGAACTGATGGCGTCGACCAGCGGGGCGGACGTGAAAGCGACCAACTCGACGATGATGGCAGGCGCGCTTACGCTGGCTCTAAGTCATATTAACCGGCGGAGTATTGCGTGGGCCGAGGCCCACGGAGCTGATACAGCTGCTGAGACGTCGGGCGGTGGTCCATCTAGTGGTGGACATGCTTCTGGGACGGACACTGCGGAAGGGTTGCAATCGCGCATCTTGATCATATCCGTCAGTGGCGCCAGTGATTCTGCCCATCAGTATATACCGATTATGAATAGTATCTTTGCCTGTCAGCGGCTGCATATTCCGATTGATGTGTGCAAACTGAGTGGGGATGCGGTGTTTCTGCAACAGGCCTCGGATGCTACTAAGGGTGTCTATATGTCGTTGACTGAGCCTCGGGGGCTATTGCAGTACCTAATGATGGCTTTTCTGCCTGACCAGCGATCGAGGAGACATCTGGTTCTTCCGACGCGAGTCGATGTTGACTTCCGTGCGGCCTGCTTTTGTCATCGACGGGTTGTCGATATTGGTTTTGTCTGTTCTATCTGTCTGAGCATCTTCTGCGAGCCCCCGGAGAACGGCAACTGCCTGACCTGCGGCACAAACCTTGAAATGGGTGATTACGGGGCTAAGCCAGCCGTGGTCGCCCGAAAGAGGAAGAAAAAGAAGCGTGTGAACGGTCCGTCGGGCACAGCTACACCTACGCCTACGCCTACACCGGGGCCCTGACACCCTACTCCTTGTCAAACAATGTTTTCTGCGTCGTGGAGGAGGGCTAGGAGTAAGGTTACGTGTCTGCTACCTTTGGTCTCAGGCGATGTTAGCAGATTGCGTTACAAAGAACATATCCAGCTTCTATTTGCTATCCTATTTCAGATACGTGCAGGAGGCAGTCACAAACTCCGGTCGACACACTCCGACATTTCATAAGTGTCATTTTTCGAGAGTAAGGCAGTTAGGAAAGACATCACCCGCCACACAGCAAACAGAGTGGGTTCAATAGCCTTGAGGATTCTGGCCAACATCGTATTTCGGTTTCCTGCCTACATCAGTTGATCGATCGCCGAAGACACGTGGAACGTAACAACACTATCTAACGTTAGATAGTTCGATAGACAACGTTGGCCACTTGTAATCGGCTTGAAAAGTCACGTTTACTTTGACTTGTATATTACACCAAATACACCAAAACATAGATAATAAAAGGACTTACTGTTGTGAATGGCTATGCTGTAGCACTGGGTACCTTGTGCCTAACGACATATAAGCTCAGTTGGGGTAAATTTTGTATTTCGCACCATAAGGTGCTCCCTACCTCTTGGATCGGTAGCGCGGCCACCTTGTGCGATACTCCCATTTCCATTGCTGCGTGACATGACAGATACTGGTTTCTTGTCCTCACTGCTCATTGAAGCAAGCGCCTGAGTTGGTCGCATTTAGTATAAGAGAACTGAGAGATAAACTGGGGCTACCTACGAAAGAATCTGTGTTATGGCCAAAACACAGGTACACTCCATCAACTGTTTTCTTGACCGCCATTATTCCAATGGCACCCCGACAGTGGCTGTCTTTGACTCCAGGATGGCCTAAGCAAGAGGGAATTAGCCTTCTACATATATAGACGGTGGATGCAAAGGTCCATTTAGTACCCATGAATTCGGACGCTATCATTCCCCTGAGCGCTTCGTCCTCCGTGACTTCCTCAAATGAACCATCTTCGCACTTTCGTTGGTTGTAATAAATGCGTGAGGCACAGGTGCTAGCAGCCATACTTGTTGCAATGTGTTCGCCGGTTCCCGAAGTGACTGTAGCAACGCATGTTTGGTCCGGGTCGTTGGGGTCTAGTGGGATAACGGCAGTACCGATGCCCACGAGCGCTGCAGGGCCAATACGGCCACGATGTTTCATCCCAATGCCACCGGATGATGACCCTGCTGCGATATTTCCATGTGAATCGACTGCTATAGCACCAACAGTATCGCTGATTTGATCCATATCTGCGTGGTGGATATCCGTGGCAACAGAAGGGGGCGTCATTTCAACGTCCATACTGGGTTCAAGAAAACGAGGTGCCTGAGACGCTATACCGTCCATATACCCAGCGTCTCTGGCTCGTGGTGGTAACATGAGAGTATCACTAGAGCTGACCGGCGAAGAGATACCCGAATTTCTAAGACGTGTATCACCCAAGCTGGAGCTAAGCGACGAGGCAGGTCGTATGCTGCTTGGTGAAGAAAGCAAATTTGTCGGATTGACACTCACTGGTCGACGGATGTATGCCTTATGACGCTCATATCTTGCTGGGAACTGCTGCGCCTCTTTCGATTCGGCCGCTTCCAAGTCCTGTTGCCATCGCAGCCAACGTCCCCGTGCCTCTTCCGATATCAGACCGTCATGGGGAATCACAATTAGACCTTGTTCGTACGCAAAGCTTGTCGCGCCCTGTCCCACAAGGAAGTTGGGAGGCACTCTCTGTAAAGTCAGCGGCTTCGTTGATGCCTCAAGAACAACCCGAGCCAATGAGATTGGATTCTTGACTTCTATAACCCTATGTTAGTCTATTCATACAATAGCTAGTGCGAAGCAAGTTCTCCTGGAAAGTACGTACGAGAAACAGCTCCAGCCGCACCACTTCTGCCCAGGTGGTTTACGATAGTAGCGTCGCATTCAACAGCGCCATCGATGGTTAGGTTGCTGCCGTAGCCGGCATTTGTGATTTCGGAATCTTCCAGGAGCATAATGGCGATTTCCACGGCATCAACAGCTGATCCACCATTTTTGAGCATCTGAATTGCCACCTTCGCTGCGCTACTGAGGGTTAGACATACCAGAATATTGCGCGATCAGAAAGGGGCCTGATGGCGCCAGTAGGGGTCAACCACTCACTTCTCACATGTTTCTAGATGCAGTTTTTCGTTGTGCGGACTATGAAACCCAGCTCCTGCATGGACAAAAATGGCAGAGACATCGTCTCTCCGTGGACGGCTCATTGTGTCTTTGAGTTGGCTTGTCGACGAGAGTGAAAAGTCGGCGCGTAGCGTTGCGGCCGGTTGTTGCGGAAATAAGAAAGGTGGAAGACTCCACACAGTTTGGGAACAACTCAAGACCAAAGCTCGTAGCGGAGACTGGTGATTCAGCATCCAATCTATCAGAGAGTAGAGAGCACACACTGAGGAAACATCACTTCAGATAGGTGGCTCTCCTTTGCACAGCAGAGTCAGTGCGGGTTAGTATATTTCCACGATGGTTGGTTTCTAGGAAACTGTGTCGATTTCCGTTTTTAATTGTGGATGAAAATAAGGAAGACAGGATCTTTGCAAGACTGATTGACTGTTCAATGAAGACAAGGTGTGTCGAGTTGAAGAACAGTGCTAGGGAATATTAGGGACAATGAATAGTGTTAAGACTAAAGGTATGGGGTATAACTATGATTCCATAACAAAAGAAGTGTAGTAAGCACTAGGAATACCTGAATGGCATTAAAAAGAAGGACTTCGAAGCAATGAGTGTGTAGGATTGTAGGTACAAAAGGTGCCCAGAAGGAGAAAGTAGGAAGACAACACAAATATAGACCGAGGAGTGAATGTCTCTGTTTTTGAATGGTTCGCAGTTCCTTCCGAAAGAACAGTCACCCAGACAGAGATGCAGTTACCTCTGGTGAGTGATCGGTAGATGCCATAACTTACAAACAACTAAGCCTTATGTATACAAGAAAGAATCATAAGGGAAATATTCTCAGGAGGAAATGACAGACATATACAGAGAATATATACTGAATTGTGAGCGCAACTCATAGTTCCAGTAGTTTGATATGCGGACGGCACATGACTGGGGCTTGGCATCGATGTCATCAACCTCAGGTATCCAAAATTACCATACGGAAAAATTACCTACCTAAAACAATGGGCATACGTATGTGAACTTAAGGTACGGACGGTACACTCACTTACTACAACTACTTGCCCGCCTTCTCCGTCCTTCCCTCCCCTCCTCCGCTATTCTGACCCTCTCCCTATTGCAGTACCCACTTTACTTCCTCTTCCATTCTATTCTCTGCTTCCTAGTCTCCCAATTATTTCCAACCCGACCGGTAGCAGGTTGTTCTAATCGCAGTTTGGGAGAAAGGGAAACTGTGGACGTGTGTGCTCCAGCTCATCCGTCATGGCGTCCCAAACCCCAGCCGTTGTCATGGACAAGTATGTTGCTCTACACCGTCAGATCCTGCCCGCAGATGATAAAGATAACTAACTCTGGGTGCTACTCTGCAGCGGTACTGGATACTCTAAATTAGGTGCGTTGAATTATCCCAGTGCCTATCGCTCAAGAGCCGCCCAACCTTGAGCTTCAGGCCGAGCTCTAGGCTGACAAGTAATCAGGTTTCGCCGGTAACGACTCACCTTCATTTGTCTTCCCTACCGCAATTGCTACCAAATCTGGCGCTGGAAGTGCCAAGCCTCCTGTTGCCAACAAACCTGGGTTCTTGTCTGCAGGTGGTGGGGCAGGCTCACACTTGTCTTCGAAGCGTGGTACAGAAGACTTGGATTTCTTCATCGGCGATGAAGCTCTAGCTGCTGCCAATGGCCCTGGATATGGAATCAACTACCCCATCCGACATGGTCAGATTGAGAATTGGGATCACATGGAACGGTTCTGGTCGAACTCGATCTTCAAGTACCTGCGCGTCGAGCCGGAGGACCACTACTTCCTACTCACTGAACCTGTAAGCTTGTATTTGGATTCAATCGCTTCTCCGTGGTTGCTGCTTTTTAATGGTGGAAACGACATTTGCTGATATATCCCGGTTGCACAGCCCCTGAACCCGCCCGAGAACCGTGAGAACACCGCGGAGATCATGTTCGAGTCGTTCAACTGCGCTGGTCTTTACATTGCGGTCCAAGCCGTGCTTGCGCTCGCTGCCTCGTGGACTTCTTCTAAAGTAACCGATCGATCCCTCACAGGAACCGTTATTGACTCGGGTGATGGTGTCACCCATGTCATTCCCGTCGCGGAAGGCTACGTCATCGGATCCTCTATCAAAAGCATACCCATTGCCGGTCGAGACATCACGTATTTCGTACAAAGTTTGCTTCGTGACCGAGGAGAGCCCGATAGTAGCTTGAAAACCGCCGAGAAGGTTAAGGAAGAGTATTGTTACGTGTGCCCGGACATTGTCAAGGAATTTGCCCGCTATGATCGCGAGCCGGATCGACTCCTCAAACATACTGTCACCTCGCCCAACGGCCGGTCCGTGAACATCGATGTCGGATATGAGCGTTTCCTTGCCCCCGAGATCTTCTTCAACCCTGAAATCTACTCTTCCGACTTTTTGACTCCGCTGCCGACCGTTGTCGACGGTGTGATCCAGTCTTCCCCTATCGATGTTCGGAGAGGCCTTTATAAGAACATTGTCCTGTCCGGAGGATCTACGCTATACAAAGATTTTGGCCGGCGTCTGCAGCGTGATATCAGGCACCTGGTCGATGCTCGCATTCGCGCGTCCGAAGCTCGCAGCGGTGGCGCCAGGAGTGGTGGTTTGGATGTGGCTGTGGTGACGCACAAGAGGCAGAGACATGGTCCATGGTTCGGAGGTAGCTTGTTGGGTCAGACCCCAGAGTTCCGCAGCTACTGCCACACCAAGGCAGAATACGATGAGATCGGCCCCAGCATTGTCCGGAGGTTTGCCCTTCTCGGAGGTCCAGGCAGCTCGTAAATAGAGGATATTAGTTGCCAGTGTGTTCATTAGCTCTTGTCAATAGCTTTCTTTTCTCATACCATGTTCCACGGCCCATCTCAATCTGACGCTGCGCGTTTTCATGTAGTTGGATAGACCAGAGGGCACAGTCCTGACCTAATACTCACGCCCAATGTATGTACATATACACCAGACCCTCATAAGCGAGCTTCCTTCGGGACGTTCATGTATGAATAAAAGTGAAAACGTTCAATGTCTACCACTGCCTGGCACCTACTCCCACGATGACCTAGCTGAAACAACTCGCCATCACTGAAGTCAACAACAATGGGCTGTAAAGAGAGTAATGAAAAGAGCATTCAAGTAATGAAGACCCTCGCCGCCACGAACTTGATCTAACTCCATCCCAACCAATGGCGACAAAGCGCCCCAGACAATCCATTTACAATCAAAGCCTAGCCTTATCCTTAGTCATGTTTACTGCTCCGAGCGTCTCCAACCCATCAACAAAAGCATCCCACGAAGCCTGCGATAGAATAGGTGCCGTACAGTATGGTCCAGCACCAGTGGCATCCAGTAACGTATCTAGCCGAGGCAGCAGAGTATCCAACAAACGAGCCTCCTTCTGAAAGATATATTCGCGAGTGATATCGGTATGTTGGACATACCAGCTTAAATCTAGCAACACAGCATGAATCTCATACAGGGCTAGTAAATCCGAATCAACGCCTGCCTTCGCGGCAGCTTCATAGGCTCTTCGATGTCCGATGGCCTCTATGAGGGCTGGACATCTTGGTAGGATTAGCGAGTTGAATTCAGCGTGATGGTGGCCTCCTTGTAGGCCATTCAGTATTGAGCGGGACTCATCGAAGAGACCCTTCTCGTGCTGGGCAAGGAGACATGTTGGGTTCGTCGGGGACGGGGGTTGGTATCGGTTGAGGAGGAGTTCGGTGCCGATTTCTGGTTGTTTCTTGTGAGTTGTGTGGAGTAGAGAAGAAGTTGGGAAGCATACTGATACTCAATGCTAAGATATCCCTCTCCGCGATCGAAACGAAACGCGTTTCTAGTTGTGGCCCGATTATTTGGTTATAATCCCATAAGCCCTGTGCACCGCAACGCTCGGATAAGGCATGGAACATGGGCTGCGAGGCCTGGCATAGCACTGCCTTGAATGTGGCGCTGATAACTTGCTGGATGGCTGGCGTACTGTTCGACCTTTTGAATTGTTGGATGCTGTCTTGTGCGAATGGGTCGAAGACCGCGATCTGTGCTAATGCATGCAGTATAGGGAGTTGTTGGGTGCGGAATGAGATGATGGGAACAGGTTTACTATTTTGTCTCATTATCCGTCGGCGCAGACTGTACTTACCAGCCACAAAGACTGCTCTCTTCATTTGTGGGATCAGGGCCGTAGTGGCTGCTAGCGAACCAACAGTAGAACGCCGAGTCATTGATAGGAAGCTCTCTTGCATATTGTTTGGCTTCTTCAGAGGTCCTAGAAGCGCTGATCTGGGTAGACGGACGTGTGAAAATATTGTGATGGCATGATCTAATGGTTTCGATCCTGCTCGTTTAGGGAGTAACCTGTAGAGCTTTAGTTCTTGGATAATAGGCAACACGGACTCTCTTAGGATATTTATACTTGGCAGTGACTCCTTCACACATATTCTTACCATCATTAAGCCAGACGACGAATGGCCTGACCCCCCAATCATCGCCAGAAACGAGAAGCTGGGCAAACACAAGAGCAACTTGAGGAAAGCCCTTTCTTGGCCAGTTCGGAGGTGTGAATCTAAGCTAGTCAGCTGTAGGAAGCTAACAATATAGCGCATGGCTTCCTTTACTTTGCTGCATTTGAGTTGGGCGTATGAATATCGAAATCGCCACTTGGAAGCAACGTCGCCGTTGTCTCTAGGTTCCGAGCATCCAACCCATGTCCAACCTCTGTGAGCATAAACTGCATACTATTTAGCAAAGTCAGCTTTGTATATATGGCGACAGCCCACTCAAGCACCAGGGGCTTACGAGACGTCAAACTTGAGTATACGATCCAAAAGTGGTTGATACCCAGGTTGATCTGTCACGAACATAGCGAATGTCGCTCCAGCAATATTATACTGAAGTGAAATTAAGAAAAATGCTGCACCATCAAGAGATAGGGTCATGTCCTGGTGAATCTGCCAAAACTTTGGGGTCAGATTGAGAATATCTGATGCTTCCAAGCCTAAATCTATGAGTAAGTTGTACCCCTTCTGGTTCAACGAGGCTCACCATATGCCTTGGCAACCGCGTAGGCGCGGTGATAGCTGAGTTCTATCCTTTCATCGTTCGTCAGATGCTCAGGGATTGATTTGAACAGATCTGACTTGAGTAGCTTCAGAGTTGGTGAAGACATAGTGATTGATAATCTGGCCAATCTTTTCCTTCAAAGTGTCATAGGTCGAGCGATTTTTAAAGGCATTCTGTGGATAAACAGCAGCTACGACATATAGTCATGGAATATATGCTGGATCATAGGTTTGATGACGCGCAGCAACGAGTTGTAGCCTTGGAACTAGGTTCGACAACAACTTGGCAGCAGATGAGACTATCAGGCCCGCAAAAGTATGTTGTCCGGTCCATGTTCATAGCTAAAACGGTAATCCATTTAAGTATGAAGACCAGACACTGGCCTGTACGTATTTCATGGTATGTCTCGATTTACTTTGCCTATACTTCTCTCCATACTCTGTTGTCCTTGTCAGAAATCGGTTGTTGTACATCGGCTGGCATATACCTTGTAAACTAGGCTGTTGGGGTAAATGGGCAGTTCGCACTTAAACACCGTTCCATATGCGAGTCCTGATGATATCCCACGCTGAAATAGGACAGGGAGATTCCCCAGATGTCAAGAGAGTCTTGGTGAAGGGTATGGTGAACGTGAGATGCATTTCTAACTTGGATCATTCCAAACGCACTAGTATATATTATGTGTCCATGTGATCCCCAAGCTATACTTAACCAGGCGAACCCGTCACTTCTGCCTACACGATGACAATTTCCCAAGGGATATGAAGCTTTAGTAGCTACTATATAATCATGAATGGCGGTAGATGCTCAGGTATTATTCACTGTATATATACTCACACCATGTCGAACCTTGTTCAGTGGGGCAGAACAAGAGACCGGATCGTATCTTAAGAAAGAGACAAAACACAATTTCCTGCTTCATGCAAACTCATTCATGTACAATAGAGAATCGTCAATTAAAGTCTATGCTATGTTCTTTTATGCCGCAGCCAACGCCGGTTGAAGTCCAACAGTTCCAGTCAAGGATGTTAAAATCATGTTTTTTGCGCCCTCGCATTCACTTTTCAGAATGTAGTCTTGTTCAAGATTGCCACACCTTCAACGTGGCCCGTCTGAGGAAAGAAATCGAAGCCTCTGATACTCTCAATCTCAAAACGGATATTCTTTTCCTTGTCACCCTGGACCATAACCGCCACGTCCCGCGCTTGAGTATGCACATTGCAACTCACATAGACGACGCGGCGAGGCCCAAAAGTCAGAAGCTGTTGGAGGAAATCATCACTGCAACCCTTGCGGGGCGGGTCAATGACAAGAAGTGTCTGGTCGGGAGGATAGGGTACGTCTTTGAAAAGCGTGGCAGCATCTGCCGCGGCAAAGCCAGTGTTGGGAAGGGAGTTGGCGCGCGCATTCTCTCGTGCAGAGACAATAGAATCTCCGGCTACATCTACACCAAGACTTGACTTAAAGAGCGGCGAAAGGGTGATTGTGAAAAGACCGGACCCGGAATAGGCATCGAGAAGATACTTGATCGGCTTGGGGTCTTCTTGGTTGTTTTTTGGTAATGCAAGCTGGCGGATGTAATCTGTGAAGCCGGAGAGGATGGAATTGTTGTTTTGGAAGAAAGCGCCAGCTCTGTTGCTGAAGAAGTAATCATCGATGTATTCGACCGACGTACCATTGGGATCCGTCACACACCGTTTCTCTTCGGTGTACTTCTCTCGTTCGATCTGAATCACATCTCCCGAGTCCTCGCCCACTTCAATCTCACGGTCCTTGATCGTTGAACCAGGATCCACACCATCTTTAGGAAGTCGCGCGGTAGATTCACGCAGCAAAATAGTTGCGCCTTTAGTGTATTTCCCAATGTTTTCTGCAACCTTCTTTCTCTCACTCTTCAGCCCTTTTCGCACAATATCGGTACCCAGAGGACAATCTTCAATATCCAGATCCCGGCGCTGGTTCTTATAACAGAATCCGATGGGTGGTACCTCTTTATGGGGTTCTTTAGGGGCTTTGCTCCTCCTGTTCCCACCGGGACCCGCAAAGTGTGGCGTCAGCTTCGTGCGATAACCGTACTGCAGAGGAGAGGGAAATGTGTTGTCAACGGCCGGAATCAACTCTGGAATCAAGCCAGAGAAGTTGGCATAAGCTTTTTCCACAATGCGCTTCTTATGAGCCAGCTGATCTTCGTAGGGCATCATCTGTAGCTGGCAACCGGAGCACTTGCCAAAGTATTGGCACCCTATCCCGGCATCATTTCGCTGAGGGCCAGGCTCAATCACTTTGAGAAAATCCGTCAAACTGTAGGACAACCTAGGGAAATGCCGCACGATCTTCACTAAGGCCTTATCGCCGGGCACGGTAAACGGAACGACGTAGACATGGTTCGCATCCTCGGACAATGCAAGGCCATCGCCAGTTGAAGAGATCTCGGCAACCTTGACTTCAATCTCGGTAAATGTCTCCGGTAGAGAAGAAGTCGGTGGTGGTGTGGAAGCATCTTCTACACCGATCTCGCTCTCAGGCTTGTGCTTCCGCAGAAGGTTGTCGATATCGGCTTGAAGGACTTCATCAAAACCACTACTCTTTTCGCGGTCAACCTTGGTCTTCTTGCGCCGCTTCGCGCTCGTGTCTGGACTTTTGGGGGAGTTTGGCATTATGGTTGAGGAGAACGGCGCAATAGGGTATGGACGGTGGGACAAGAGAGGCTTGGAATGGACGAGATGTCCAGTCCGCAAAGATAGAATTGAAGAGTAGTGTTTTCGCGATAGGGAAAGACCCGCCCTAAAAGCGAACATATATAACAAACTAAATCCGAAAAATTCTAAAGAGCAGAGGAATTGTTGCGAAAGAAGAGCAGAAACAGAAAATGAGCTTAATTTCTGGAGGGACAAGATGAGTGACCAAAAAAGGTGGGCGGCAATTGGTCGAACCGCTCCGCTGAGAATTTCGCCGGCTTTTAGTCCTTCACTTCTTCAACCATCCAAACCTCCGTCCACCCTACGCACCGCGGTCGATCCCATTCCCCCCCAAATCCCTTTCTCCTTTCCGGAATAGCTCTCCAGTGGCCTCTGCTGGCCAGAGAGCTCCTATCCTTCAACATGAGCTTCGCACGGCCGGCAAGATGTGTGTTTTGCAGCTTTACTCGAGGTGTCTCCGCCGGCACACGAGTGCCTAGTCGCCAATTCCACCCTTCCCCGACGCAGTTCGCAAACCGTAAACCAAAATTTCCCAACTTCAAAGCCCGAGATGAGAAGACCTTGGAAGAAATTACGCGGGATATGAAGCCCAGCCACTTTAAGCCGTACACGGAAGAGGAAAAGGCAGGCCTGAAGGAAGAATACACTCCTGAACAGCTGGCCGCAATTGAAGCCGGTGAGGCGGCAATCGACCCCAAAGACATGGCAGAGCAGTTTGCTATTCGCCGGGACCCGATGAAGCTTCATTACCTTGATGATTTCTCCACCATTGAGCCCGGTGTGGACAAGCATGTCCGGGCGCCCAAGTCCAATTCCGACTACAACGCGACTCTCAAAAGCGATGATGATTTCGTCGACGACTTCGCCCGTTTCTTCCAGGAATTGCCAGACGATGCCACCGGGGCTGATTGGGTGCGGTTCGCTGATACCTTGCGAGTCACCCTGGGCAAGGAGGAGAATGAATTGAACCCTCACAGTGTTCTAGTGCCGGATTTGTTCAGCCAGGGGGAGTCCCTGACGGAGGAAACCAAACCGTTCAAGTCTTTTGAGATGCAGGAGTCGCCAAGGTTTGGAGAGAGTGAGGAAATAACTGAGGCGTTAAAGAGGCTTCTACAGTCCACAGGCTATAGCCAACTCTTTGTCAAGGGTCTGGCGACGAAGACCCTTGTTTCGCACTCAGTCGTTAACCAAACTCGTCTGGGTAAGGTTCGTCGTATGTACTGCCTTTCCATCGCTGGCAACGGCAATGGTCTCCTGGGAATTGGAGAAGCCAAGTCCGAGGAGTCCGCCGATGCCATCACACAATCCAAATACCGAGCCATCAGAAACATGCAACCCATCCCACGGTACGAGGGCCGCACCATCTTTGGTGATGTTGAGGGCAAGGTTGGAGCAGTCGAGTTGAAGTTGATGACTCGTCCGCCAGGTATGTATTCGCTTAATCATAGGCTACTGGGTCCAGCTACTAACAGCGCATAGGATTCGGACTCCGTTGTCAGCATTTGATCTTCGAGATGTGCCGTGCAGCCGGTATTCATGACCTCGCCGCCCGTGTCAGTCGCTCGAGAAACCCTATGAACACCGTCAAGGCAGCTTACGAGGCTCTCATGAACCAACGCAACCCAGAGGATATTGCCCGTGCTCGTGGCAAGAAGATGGTCGATGTCCGCAAGGTCTACTACTCGGGAAGATACTAAATCAGCGTCTTCAGCACGATGTTACGTTCTCCCTAGTTGAACATTTCTTTCCGGGTCTAAATGATATCAAATAGTCTGGATAACCTTCTCATCGTTATCTAGACGTCTCGACAGTCATCATCTCGCATAGAATAGACTGTACGAATATGGGCATCGTTTGCGGCATGTGATGCACGCTTCTTTGCGTTATGGCGATGTATATAATCCTTTTTCCTCCTTTTGCTCTTTTTTGTACCCTGACATGTATTTGTATCTGCAAGGCTAGTGTCATAGTATTTCATAACAATCCAGTTCCTGGTTCCATAATCATCCAACCTTTTAAAGCCCAACACCAAAACCCACATACAAGAACAAAGGGGGTATACCCATGGCCCACACCTATATATGCAAGAGAAAACGAAACAAAACCCATACAATAATCACAGAAGCGAACAAACATCAAGTAAACCGCCCCTCAAAGCTCATATCCTCATCCTGGTAATCGTACCCCTGATCATGATACTGCATCTGGTCACCCTGCTGCTCCATCTGCTGCTGTTCCTCATTCTCGTTGAAGATCTGTTGCTGGAGCACAATGCTGTACACACTCGCCTTCAGAAGTGTGCAGACCGTCGCCGTCTTCCGTTCAAGAAGTCGGAGGCCGTCCAGAGTAAGGGATGAGGGGTCGCCGGAGAGGTCGGCGAGTTTGTCAGACAGCTGTAGACACGTCG